TATATATATATATATATATATATATATATATATATATATATATATATACTTTTTTTCTCGTAGAAATTTACATCTATGTAATTTATCGGATACATGCCCAAAGCTTAACATTCTAAAGCTGACTTATAGAAGAAAATCGGTTAGATACGTGCCACAAAGCGTACGGATCAGTGGCTCTGGACACATAGATTGGTCGACTGTTTCTTTAGCAACGTCATCGAGAAGTGACGGGATCCGAAGTTCCGGTTCACACCGGGAACCGTGAATATGTAAATAACGGCCAAGTAATGTTATTATTGTACACTTAGAGAATCAGCGGTTAATGGTCCTTTGATTTCTTAATTGATCTCCGTGCAACGAGCAATGCAGAAGTTTTTCGGTCTCGTCGTCGATGAGTGTACAAATGTTCAATAATTCGGCCGATATTTATAAAAATGCATCTGCGAGCGAATTGACATTTTTTTCGACTTGTCCGTACAAATTCGTTTACGCTATCAGACTGTCGCTATACCTAGTTTAGCACGCGCGAAGAAACACACGCTGCGAGTATGTTTACCCGGTGTTTGGGCATAAACACTATAACCAAGAGGAAAATATTTCTGTACGGAAGATTTGATTGAAAACGTATAAATAAAGATATCCTTTTTATAGTCTCTCTTCTCATTCAAACATTTTTGATAATTATTTCAATTGAAAGAATCCTAAATTAGCAAAGTAAATAGTGTAATATAGATTTTAATTTCATTTTTAAATATATTTTAATTTCTTTCATTAATCATAAACTCCAACCTCACATTTGTAACTGACGATGAATATAAATTAAACATAAGGAACATTAACATATTTTAAATGAGGTTTAATATGAACACCAACAAAATTAAGCTATTATCAGATAGCGATAGTGAGGTAGGATTATGAAGGATATGAATTTTATTTCGTTAGATTGCAATGTGATATCAATTTTTCAATGCAAGAAAACTTAACAGAAAGAAGAAAAATTACTAGATTTTCAATTCAATGTTTTGTACAGGGGCTCTTTATACTAGGTTGTACTGTCTGTTAGGAAATATTCTCTACAGTTATCAAATTTATGCTTATACACAGAGTAATATCGTGTTTCTAAGGTTCACCCTAACGATGTTCCTCGAGAAACCAAAGCACCATTTATATTACGCATTTGAATAGAACAATTGTCACGACTATTTTACGCGTAGCATATACACACACCATTTAAACACATTAGATAGATCTCTCGTATCTGACACCTGTATACGTTTATTATAATTATGGTTGTTCTTAGACACTAGTTAGTCCCTATCTCATTATAGCAATCGTATCGTTTCGATTTCATGCGTATCTGTCAATTTGATCAGTTCATAATTCTCTGGCAACCTAGAATTCATATCTCACAGAAATTATTATTTAACTTTGACCAAATTGTACGCTATTTATGATCATTGTAAATTCAAGATTTATTAATTGATTAATTTAATCAAGAGTATTGAAATCTCTTCTCACACATGAACATAATTCGTATTATTTTTGTACAATAAAACCTTGAAACACAAACGATGATCGCTCTAATGAAACGAGACAGTTCCTAATATTCTGTACAACACTCTATATAAAAATCTTATGGAAACACTTACAGATATATGCACTCTGTAGAACGCAGTAATCTCGCGCCGGGCACACAATGTAAAAACTCTCAAAATCTATTTGGCACTCTCCTAGTTTCATGGAAAAGGCGAGCACGCTTGATATTATATTCATCAATTCAAAGACATTGCATATGAGTAGAGTTTTACTCATTCGCTACATGTACGTTTCTGTTACATTATATACCTTAGCGTTGCCTTACGATAATACGATAATTGGTCTAAGTATGTACTGTTTGTATTAAAAAATATCAACTGTGATTATAAATATCTTTTTTGTGCACCGAGTTCATGCACAAATCGTTCTCGATTGGAAAAAAATTGAGAAAGGATTACCACTTTTACCAAAGCATTACCAGGCATACGTATTTCTATATGTGTAAACTGAATTTTCTAATTGGTATCACCTGTGTTACTCTAATTTCACATCACTCAGCACTTTATATAGTTTGGAGTCTATGAATTGAAGTCCCTTCTTTGACACGTTTCTACCAATCTGCAACGAATTGTGCGAACTCAGTTTAGTGTAAATAGAGCTTGATCAGTCGACTTATAGGAAAAAAAAACTCGTAATTTGTATAGATTTCAGCAATCTTTGAGTTGATTTTGGTCTTGTTAATAATCGAACTGCGGAAAATTCTGCATTTATAAAATTTTGTCATTTCAAAGTTCTGTAAGATAAAAATTTTGAGAAAATATACTGCTGCATACAGAATGTTTCATAACAAAAGAAATAAGATTTTGACTTCCTGTTTATAATCACGTATCTATTGATAATGTTATAGAAAGAAAAGTTGATATTTTTTAGTAATCTTTTGCAAACATGTCCGCAGTCCATTAATGATATAAATATAATATGTTAAATCGATATCAGGGAATTAATATTTTTTTGGACAGAAATTTGATCCTGTATTTCGCTCAATTTTGATCTTTAGATGTTGATTAGCGTTGTTTTTGATTCGATCGCGAAAGTTTGATTATTTCTGAATTTTTTAATATATCGAATGTATCCGTAAATAATTCACTATTTTTAAGTGGGAGATATATCATTGCTATTACCTTACGAAAATGGTGAATTATTTATTGGCACACAAATTTTTATTCGCAATAAAATTACGGCATAAAATATCTTTTTATAACCAATAACAAAATCAGAAAGTGTTGATAGATCATAAAGTGCACTTTGTTTAAATTGTAGTGTCGTTCATTGTGTCGTGCTTGTTTCAAATGTGATACGTCACGAACTAACATCTAGAAAAGATCCACGTCGAAAGCACTATCCTAAACAGTCAGTATAAGCAATTGTTTCAGTGTAGACTTGCTGGATGCAGACAAAAAATTTTTTGATGATTTGTTTGCTTGATTTTGTATGATTAATTCCAATGAACATTGACACGTCATGAATTGTTCTTACTGACAAATTTTGATCTTGGGAGCAAAACGTGATCCAAGGAGCAAAAATTTTAAATTCTTTGAGTTTTGATAAAGAAATCTGTAAAATATACAATTTTCACGTATTTTATATGTCCTCAGCCCACCAGAAATAGTGATTTCGTAAAGATTAATTTTTTTTGTCACTATAATCTGCATTTCGAAAGAAGAGACCAGCGTTTTCTCATTTTCAATCACTTTATCGATCCAAAGTTTGCTTGGTGTTTTTCTCTGTAAATTTATTATGAAAACATTTTTGTCTTAACCCGAAAATTATAATTGATATGAAGTTTATTTTATAAATTTCGTTTCAAAACAACGATTCTAAAACTATGATAAAGATATAGTTAATAATATAACAATCAATAGTGATATTATGGTAACACCGCAAATTAGCCTAAGCCTTGTAGTGAATCTCTCTCTTGATTTGAAATACAGACTATGAATATATTACTTTGCAACTAAGAATACGTGTAAAAAAATATTTCTTTTTTCATAAAATGTTAATTTTCAAATATGTCAAAATTACGATTTTGTATATCATTAGGGTATGAGTACTTTCTCGATTTAGGTATTGTAAATGTCCTACGACAAAATTTTCTTTGTTTCCGGTTTCTATGTATGCCTGTACCCAGCATTTATGTGGGTATTTATCGGCATGTCTACGAAATTGTATTATAGCGCCACTATTCAACCCCTGATCACATAGATTACGGTGCCTGGATTTGATTGTACTTATTTGCATTTTCCTTGTTTATCAAATTTTTTAAAATTTACCTCTGAATCTAACTTCGGAAATTAGATTCCTCTTATATCTTACAATTAGCGCTCAATTTTGTTAATCGTGCCCATGACATTCTTCATATTTCGTCAATCGTCTGTAACTTATTAGCCTATACCTTATTTATCAAAAATTCTTGTAGATAAAGTCCAACAGTTTTAAATCACCCGATTAAGACTTCATAAAATTAGAGGTCCATGAAATTTTTCTATTAAATTTTGATCTTAAATTTTTCCATTGAATTGTTTTATTTCGTGTGGAAAACTATCCCAAAATTAATTGTCACGATGTAGACTTAAGGTAAAATAGTGAAACTGGACAAATCTCAAATATATTTATGTTTTGTTAAGAATTTGAAGACTCTGTTGGAACTGTTAGAGGTTTATGAACTGTTGAATTGAAAAAAATCCAGGCACCGGGATCGTAGGTTTAATTTGCTGTTTAGATTGTAGTCTAACAATGACATTACATACATAGGATCAGTGTACGTTTGTGGTGTGGGTTACTATGCCCTGTCACACATTGAAAGGGGACCAGAGATTGACAGTGAACCCTCCTGCAAGTCTTCAATGTGTGTCATGCGTTACATATTGAATTTTGATTTCGAGCTGTCAGCCATTTTGTCTTACATATTATTTACGCGGATTATCTTCTTTACTTAGTATTTACATTCTCTTCGTTTATCATTACGATTAAGTCCTTAATGGTAAAACGCGGAATAGACTCTTAAAGGCTGTTGTGTGTTTTGTTCGAAATGAAAGCCGATATCACAATAGCGTGTAACAAAATAAATATTCTCGCGAGAAAATATTCGATTTTCGAAATCACTCGAACATTGGTTATTCATCTCGTGTAAAATCCACAGTGATGCATCGTATTTAGCGGAAATTCCTGTTGCAACGTAAATATGACATTGCTAGAATCGTTTCAATACTTTTCATGATCTTGCAAAATTTTCCAAAATAAGGTGGCGTATCCGTTATACTTGAGAACAGATCGAATGGAATTGAAAAATTCAACATAGAAATTAAATAAATCGAGATGCCTTTGTTTACATAAAAAATATGAAAATAATTTCTTAATTTCCTGAAGAGTTACCTTTTACGTGAAATTTATTGTATAAAAAACAAAGGAATGTAATATACTATTCAATCGTATTAGTTTTGCAAGATGCGATCAATATAAATCGAAACAATTCGATGTGACTCATGGGTATAAGCGACGTATTTTTCTATTTTAGAAGAGACAATGTAGTATGATCTGTTTGTATACGTACGTACATTACAGACGAAAAGTGCAAATTTAATTTTACAATTATTGATGCACACGTTATGCTTATGATCGCGTTAACGATCATAAATTTCATTCGGACGAGTCATAAATAATTTCTGTCTCTAGGAATAATGATTTACCATTAGGATGTGGATCTTACTGCTGTTTGTACTTTGTTGATGAAGAAAACTAGTTCCTTGATAAAACTTAATATTGTTTTTATAAGCAAAATTTGATCGCAGGAAAGCTTCTACGTTTTTAGGATTAAAACTTGCTCACAAAATTGACGAGTAATGATTTGCTCATTGAAATTACATAATCGTATATTACGAGTACGTACGTACACATGGATATGTGTTACTAAATGTATACGATTGTGTCTTTATACTCGCTGTACGTATGTAAACATGATAATGACGATATGTCTGTCACTTCCGAGTAACACTTACATTATTTTAAGTACGTCTTTCCACATCTACTTTAGTATTCTATACTGCTGCCACATACTATTCATTCACATTAAGGATCAGAAAGAACGCTGCTTTCGCCAGGATATACACACATGTATACTATAATGAAACTATAAAGTAAACGCTGTTTTCAGAAAGAAGAGACAGATTTCAATGAACACGTTTCTCTTTCGTCAAACATTAGTTTCTCGATCTTCTTTCAGTCAAGCACATCAAGAAAACGTTGCTATTGTCAATCCTCAGCGTGATTGAATAAGAACTGAAGCTTCGCAGGCGTCTTTAACAAACTGCTCCCTGCACATCAAATTTGTTTCGTATTCCAGTGACTTAATTATATGTCGTGTTAGTTAAACTAGTCGAACTTAGTGAAAATAGTCGTAGTAGTACATTTGCGTACATGCTAAGATTTTGTACATTCAAATGATATCATCACTTTTGCTGTATAAAAAGGTTCAACAAATTCTGAAACATATGGGAAATATAATGTTTGTTTTAAAGGGTTAATGACAGATCTGTGTCTGTAACAAGGATGCATCTTCCCCAAAACCTGTACTGTTCTTATAGTGGTACAACCGTATAACAGGGCCACTGTGGAAGTAAACTTTCTCCATTAGAAAACTTACGTCCAACAACATCGACGTGCATTATATTATAGAAGTTATACGCACACATACACATATACGTAGATATATACAAGGTGTCCCAAAACAGTAGGGCCATTCAGAACGCGAACATTCCTGATGCAACAACATATTGAAACATCTTTTATCAGTTTTTACACCTGAGATATTTCCAATCGTGAAAATCTTAAAAACGAACTCTGATACACTTAAAGTGATAAAACAGTTTCCGATTCGTACTCGTGAGAGTAATATATATGTTCTAAATGGTGTCTCATACTTTTGGGTTACCTATGTATACATTAATAATCAACCGTATAACGATACCACGTCAAATAGTCTGCAGGACAATTGAAGCAAAGTCTGTTCGGTCGTATAAAAGACGTAATTTGCGAGAGAGACATGTATAATACTTCACTAACTGACAATACCAATGGCGACGAATACTAGGAAGAAGAATATCGTTTTATCTAATCACGTGAAAAACGTGCTCCGTCGTAACAAAACGACGTAGCTTCTGATACCTTTACATTTCGCATTAAAAGATCATCTGTTACGAACATTATGCGTAAAGATTTCAACGTTGTAGACTAGGTACATCCAATTTATGTTCTTCCGCAGTAGACATCTTTCTGCAAATCAGTATAGTTGACCTTATAATAAATGCTTTTAATCTTCCTAATGTTTCATATTTCACATTGTTTTTATAAATGCGTACAATAAACAATAAGTGTATTTATTTTCTGTGAACGTTTGTGAAATAAGATACTATTGTATACAGAGTGTCACGTTCAATTCTAGCAACGCATTCTGCTCATCCAAACTTTAACCATAGCAGAAAAAGTTTCGATGTTCAATTACTCGAGTCGTCATCTCTGTTACGACAGGGTCCATCTTCGAACGAAAGGTACAGACGTATGTACTCGCAATACAGTTTCATCTTCACACATGCACACACATATTTTTACACCAACGCACACATTAAAATTACGACTCTAATATACTCGGATGTTACCTTCCTTTTACGAACAACGTTAGCTGCCTTAAGGATACCGTGCGGTCCGCACCGGTACAGCTTTGTGTTTTGTGTTTCAACGTGCAAGCGGCTATTCTGATCGAGATCAGAAACTAAGGTGATCGATCGGGTCTCCTTTATGTTGGCGCTGACTTCTGTTACTTGGTATTTCCGTTTTGCGACGGTTTCACAGTATAGGAACCAAAATCTGCACCTAAGAGTTGATGAAACTTGAATACATTGTGCAAAAATGATTTTTCTTTCGCATGTCAAAAGTCAAAAATGTTTCTTAACTCTTAGCGATTTCAGGTAAAACGGTCGATAAATATCATTTTTGTAAAGTATTACTTAAAACTATTTTTATTCAACGGAGTTGATAATAAGACGCGCAGAGAAATGTCAGGTAGCGTTTTTCTTCATATGCTGAGGATTAAATCATTTTCCAAACTATGAACATAGTTCGAACGCCAAACTTTTCGTAAGGCTGCGAAAATGGAAAGACAAAATTAATCGTCGCGATTATTACGCTATGAGCATGCTAGAAATCCGAACAAATATCGAATCACCAAATAACAGAATTACCAAATGACTAACTATCAGTTTTAAATATTATTGGCTTCGCTCCAACACAAAAGGGAGTTCTAAAAAACCCTCTCCTTAGTTATAAACAATTAGAATTACTGTTTCTTAATTATAAATGTCCTGGTTACATTCTAATCACACATTCTCTCTCTCTCTCTCTCTCTCTCTCTCAAGTTACAGTATAACCGGACTGTGGATCTTTATGCAAATATAGATCTTCACAGACCAACTTACCAGAACGTTTGTGGAACGCAAATGTCTTTTCGACTTAGAAATTTTCAACGGATCGCTATAATTGCATAAAACCTGCAGTACAAACGTAGCACGTAGATTTGAAATGAATCGCTTCGTAGAAATTAGGTCCGAGTCGATTTAACGTTTGACTGCCATCCGGTTGTCGAATACGTAACGTTATCGCAATGATTAACCCTTGAATGCCCAGGGAGGGGGTCCATCTGGGACTATACCGCTACAATTTTTGTAAGTAAATAAATAAATACACCAAAAACATGCGAACTAATATTTCAACACTTTCGATCACCAGCAAGTGAACCTAAGCAACGCTTCAAATAATATATAAAATGTCATAACGTTGGAGCTATTTAAAGATAATAATCACCAGCAATCTTTCGTGTCCGTTCAAAAGTGATTATTCAAGTTGAAGGAGATAGCTCGGTGCAATGGGTTAACTTGAATTTAATCTCGCACAGAACCTTAGATACAATGTATGAGGTCGTTTTGTCTCAAGGACCTCGCAAGGATTTCGGTTCGTTGGGCATACAAGGGTTAATAAGAAGAAATGAAGAATTCGAGTCTCCCGTGCGTTAGCCAAGTTTTAATCTCTTATTATCTTGTCGCGAAGATTAATGCTTAGGTCTGGACCAAACTCTGCGTGATCCGCAGTTGGACGACATGGCAGTCAAAGTGCTAGTCAGCCTATGTATTTGGATATCCGTGAGGAGAGGCGTTCGGGCTCCTATTGTTTGGTTCACCCCCTTCACCGACGGCCACACTGATCATATTTCGCCGAGGCAAAATATTACATGGTCATGCGTGGCGAACGGTGGAGGGGGTCCGGCTGCTATGCTTGGTCTACCTCGTGGCACACCTCCATATAGTTTGAGTTGCGCATGATGTCCTTTATCATGTCCTTCAATATGGGGTAACGTGGGAAGATTGGATACACTTTTGAACTGTTGTACTCCTCCTGTGGGGTGAACGTAAACTTGCATTAATTACGAGAATATGTTAATTATCCGAACAGCGAGTGTTAATTATAGACTAATAGCAAAGGATGTTGCACATAAATCTTGATAAAATTGTAGGATAATCGCGCAAAATTCTCTGCTGTAATTACAAGAGATCAAAGTGGCGTAGAAGGTCATATATATTTTGTTAATTCTCTAATAAACAAATCTAATAATTTATTTCGTTATTTCTCTAATAAACGGTTAATATCTGCAGTTTGTTTATGTCAATATTCAAAATTTTCTGCTACGTTCAATAACATTGTAACATCATTGCCCGGTGAATATTTTTATACTTCGAGCATAAATGAGAAATTATTAGTATTGATTTTAGTATTTGCCAACAAGCTGTATACACAGATTTTTAAAACAAATTGAAAGTAGGTGACCCGAAATATTAAGCTACAATATCCGATACTATACAATTTGCATGCAAATGAGAGTTTTCTAATTAATTAGTATAATCTAATTAACAATATCCCTCTGATACGCAATGATTGACGCAATATGGAGAAACTATAAATATTATCATTGAATAAGGCAATTTATTCCTTTTCAGAAGCATGATAATGCATAAAAATGCTTCTAGCTTCAGGTAACACAATTATCCTCTTCGAAAGTGAAATGCACATGTATGTACGTGTACGTATGTATCATCCAGCTCCGGGTACCTATAAGTACCTACTCTGAAGTTCACAATTAAAAGTGCTTTTATTATTTCACGGCTGGAATGCTCTTCACTTTACCATTTTTATCAATACTCCACACTTTTCCCCTACACAAATAGCGAACACAACCGTTCAATTTAAATTTTTATCAATATTTCACGCTTTAAAGTGTGTGCGAACAGTAAAATTAAAAGTATTTAATTTTTATGTTAAGGAAATCATTTCTTTATTTCATTTTTGCGGTGTCTAAGATACATGTAGCAGTTCTGAAAATGTTTCCCATCGTTATAAATCAGAAAGAGTCGAGCATCATTTTGACGGGTTCTCCGATCGCTGAAGCGAACGCTAATCTTTCGAATCCAGTAGTCTTTTCTACTAAATCAGCCGCAATATTGAAGAAAGTGGAAACAAGAGCGAAATCTTTGGATGAGCGTGTGGCAATAAAAATGCGAAAAGCATGCTTAACTGTCCCGCCGGATTCCTCTTAGAGGAAAGAAGTCTTCGTAGCACGTTTATCGGTTTATCGGGTCTTGAGGATTGTTGCGCGACCGAAAGGATAAATAACGTAAGTACCTTTAGATCTCGAATCAGATTTCTGAGGCCCGTGTATCTCTTCAACAGTCTATAGAGGTCATTAGTCAGCTGCGTGTTCTCCGCCTCGATCTGCGCCGTCGTCATACCTGTTTCATGTTCACATAAATACGCACGCATTAATCCTTACATCAATATGGAACACCGTTTCAATAAGCGTTCGTTGAAATTATTCGGGGAAGATCTCCTTTCCGCTTCCAAACGCCGAGTAATTGATGAAAACAGTTAATTGATATTTTCATCTGACTCGACCTTGGATTTTTATGCATTCATGATAAATATTGTTTCTAGTCCAATGCTAAACTATTAGAACGACTGGCACAAATGCTCTTATAAAATATGGAAAGAAGATTTTAAATAAAAAGTTTCCGTTCAGTTCGACTCTTGCTTGCAAATACCACGAAGATTAAAATATACAAATTTTCTGCCGTTCCATCTGCTTCTGCGACGACAGAGTTCTGATTTCTGTGTACGAGAAAAGCCGTCTTAGTTGCTATAGTTTCTGCTCACTTTCGAGTCTCTCGATACGTTGTTTGTTCTCCGTTTCTTCTGCCAATCGAGCAGTGGTTTTCACACCCTCGCCGCTTTTGTGAGTCTTCTCCATGATGGAGCACGCGCGGAGGACAAACGCGGGCACTGTTTCCTGTTTCTCCTGCTTCGGAATGTCGACCAGTGTCCAGTATTGAGTCTCTAACTTAATCACGTCCTGAAAAAGTCAAAGTGTGTCAAAGTTGTTGTATCAAAGAATAACGGTTATTCAGAGGGAAGACGAAAAGGATTTAATCCATGGCATAGCCTGAACTAAAAAAGCTTTTCGAAGATTTTGCTGGTAAAGAATATTTAGAAGTGAAGCTCAGGTAGAACTTCCTTCTTTGAGAACGTTCCAAAGGAAAGATCTTGAATAGGTTAATCTTAAATGATCGCTTAAGTTTCATGCTTGGTATTTGTTGAAAGAAGGTTTACTTTTAAAACCGATATTTTTTATGAAGTTTCGACAGGCTGTGCTTTCGCATTACAACTCATAGAAATTGATTAATTAGTTCATGGGTTTTGGCAAACATTTATACGCCTCTAGCATTGCGAACTCGATACTCAATAATGATTGACGTATCATGAACCTCTAGACCCGTCGCAGCAATTAATGGGTTCGTTAGGCACGTAAGCCCCTTGGGCGTAATCTCCTCCATGGCGTCACCAAAATAGGGTTTGAATTCGCATGTATGATACTGTTGGTCATGGCCACAATTTCGAAAAACGATAGCCAATTATACGTGCCTCGATCAATAATTCGCTAACAGCCCACCTCTACGCATTATTTTAATATTTCAGCAACGAAATAAATTACCTTGGAATTAACGGCAAATATTTTGCGTCAGAATTAAAATAGATCACGGTCATACACTCGTGATCCTTGAACACACTGTTATGAAAATTATAGTTATCGTATAATTCTATTGAAGTACATTCAAACAACACTTTCTTTTTATAAATCATTTAGATCAGAAACTGTAGTGTAAGTTTTTTGAAAAAGAAGAGTTAATAGCGAAGTCGTTCATGAATTTTCCTTTAAAAGAATATTTGAAAATGAAGGAGGGCTGATGTTCTTCGAAAGTACACGAAGAAAAAAATGAGGATGAAGGTAAGAAAGAGTAAATGAGAGAATGGAAGGAGCATTTAAAGTGGATTGATTCTGTATAATACAGCGTTCTTCGAAATCCATATCAAGAAATTATAATTTCGAATAGAATTAAGTATTGAGATCAATTAAAAAGTTTTGACCATTTTTCGAGACATAAGTCATTATTTAAGCAAGTAATGTTTACAATATTCCACCTTTTTTATCTACTGTGCAGTATACAAATTTAAAAAGATATAGGAATTACCAGAAAGATTAAAACGTAATTGTAATCATTCGTCTGACCGAAAAATTTAGGTGGAAGTTTATAGGATCTTAACGAATGTATTACTTCTTGTTTTGTTTTCTAAAGGACGAGTCTCGCAATAAGTATGTGCTAATAAGAGGAGAACTGTCGAGTGAACTATAACTATAACGTTTTAATTGTGCAATTAAGTACCTTGATCATAACTTTCAGAAGGTTGTAGCGTTGAAACACATTGCGAACTTGCTTGCTGTCTGTGTATTTGCACATAAGTTCAACGAGAGCACGTTTCGCGATCTCGTAGCTACCCTCTAAGCGTATCCTAACAATTCTTAACCTTTTGTTCGTTTCAATTACCTCTTCCTTGGTTTGTCCACCTGGATGAAACAATAATTAATTAATTCAAGTTGAGATAATTGCAAACGAATTATAGATGCTTGATTGGTATTAAATAGTTAAATGTGTTCCAAGCGTCATTACATTCTTCATACCAATCTGTATGAAAGTACAGAAACTCTGTAGTATTATTTACCAATCAAGCATCATTATTATTGATACCATGACATAGAAGAACAAATGTAAAATAGTACAAACAATTTTGTTCCAGCACAAACTTATTTAGATAAGGTCCATGTTATTCTCATAAAAAATTGTAAAACGTAAAAGATAATTTATGTTTAGTTGAACGAAAGCTTACTTGATGTTCCCTCGTCCTTCACATCCTGAACGATCTTCCGGACGCTTTGTGTAAATTTTCCCACGAGATTTGTGCCCGCTGCAACAAGCGAATTATTCATTAAGTACGGTGGATGTTTAGGTGTTAGCGAGCCATTATCTTTTAACTACTTCTTACATTATTAATTGAAGAAACATGACGACGGAGATACGTATTTTAAATGGAATGTATTGTTAACAAACACAGCAATGTAATGAAACGTTATTACAATGTTCAACGAACGAGAGGTTGTTCTCTAATATGTGTGAACACGGTTAGCGAAGATTCTACTTAAAATATTTCTTAAATGAATTTGTTCTTTCGACTACAATCTTTGACAAATTGTTCAATTTTGTTACAATTCTATAACAGTTTCTGTTTCTTGTGTGTCTCTATTTAGTTTCATTCTTAGACTATGATCACGGCAGAATCAAATTTTTTGTTTGATTTTGAGGAAATAAATAACATTCATATGTAACGGATTATATATGAAATGTTTATTACGAGTCTGACTCGTTGGCATAGTGTAAGAGTTTAAAGATGATTTCTACATTAAGATTTTGTTGTAATAAATGTTTAGTTGTCAACAAAAGTAAGTCAATGGTTGAAATAATTTCTCCACATCTTGGAATATTACTGCTTCAATTTTTGTCTAGTTTTAAATACTTTCGTTGTTCATCATGCACAGTCAACGTTTCAAAACGCATTGATTGTGACATAGGCCTTCGGATGATTACATCTCTGACGAATAAATATGGTCCCATTATTCTGGAACGCTGAAAGTGAAATTGGATCATGCGCTATGCAACGTTTCTTTAGAAACCATTCCGTTGGCCACATGTTTCGATTGTATGTACAAAGAAAGAGTATGGTTAATGACGTTACACGGTTACCTGGAAATCTTCAGATGAATTAAAATTACGAAATCATGAATCATTTCGTGTACGTGTTACTTGGACCTAAAATAGAGTACAAGGTCGAGAATAACTCATTCGACTAGGTTAGTCTTGAAATCATCGATGTTTCCAAAGCCTTGCAATCTTAATGGTTTTGCTGATAGAATTTTATCATTCATGCGCAGTATCATAGAAGAAGGCTCATACTTTGCCTTATAACAAACGTTGTAGGATGTGGCCTTGGAAACTATATGTACCTAACAAATGAAATGTAATAAAAATCTGTGATTAGCACAGCTGTAATGTTATGGGATTGTTTTAGTACTCATAGTAATCATTTCGATTTTCTGTGACAATGACCGATCAATCTTCACACAGTTTTTTAATAAGTGGTCTTGAACGAGCTTATGGAATAAGTAATATATTGTGATCGAAACAAAGTTAATATCGTTAATTCGTCTAGGTAGTGGCATATTGAGCAGAACTTAGCACTTTAAATAATTACTTTCACTTTCGGGGCACAACAGGTGTTACGACGTAACATAAAATAAATTGAACGATAAAATAAATTGAATGCAGGAAGGTAATGCTCCATCGAACTTGTTCCGAATTTGTATTTAAACCAACTCTGCAGCATTCGTTATAATTAATTGTAATTCGAAACATTAATTACACGAATATCAATAATATATTGGCCGAATTGAAAGCACATTATTAGTTGCAATTATTGTGTAATATTCACGAAGACTAGTATTATATATTAGGCAATGACTAAAGTGCTTTTTTTCTAATTTTGCTAGTACTTGAAATGACAAAATAAATAAAAAAAGTCACGTTTTCTATCTTTTTTATCAGAATCTATAATGAAAATTTAAAAAATGCATTTTGTAGATCTCGGTAACATATATGCATGCTGAAAGTTTGATCGGTAAAAATGTTACAGCGTTTTAAAAGGTGTACGAATAATTTATTCCGCCACTGTATGTATGTTCACACGGTGTCAAAACGAACGAACGTTCTCGAATTGTTTGTACCTCACGCAATTAATTACGCGTTTGAAACAGAGTTGCTCAAAGAATTGTTACACACGTTTTATAAAAACAAAAATGTAATGAATTATGAAATTTAAATATTAAAAGTCTTTTAGGAGCTTGAAGCACACCGCCACCATAAAATGAAGCTTTGTGCTACACATTTGTGCGTTCCTTTTGTATCGTTTCACTCTACCTAGGGAACTGTTCCGCAAATTACCACACACGATTAAAACATGAACTTTAAAAATTGAAATATTAATTCAAAGAATTAAGAGACTATGAGTTTAAAAAGTGATAATATGAATTCATAGAATGAAGAGATTGTGAACGTAAGAAATCCAGAAATTATGGACTTAGAGTTAGAGAATTGAGAAAATATCCGTTTAAAGAATTCAGAAATTATGAATTCAAAAAAAAATTAGGGAACTATAATAGTGAATTGCGGGAATTAAGAAATTAGAAATTTAAAAAATTAAGAAACTGATAATTCGAAGAATTGAGAAACTATGAATTTAAGAAATCAGGAAATTATAAATTTCAGAAATTAAGGAACTAGGAATTTAAAAAGTTAAGAATCTATGAATTTGAAGAATTTTGAAACGATGAATTTTGAAACTCAAGATATTATGAATTTAAGAATTTAAGAAATTGAGATATTATGGCATATAAATTAACAACTTGATGTAACGAATATGTTACGAAGAAGTTTAAGACTACGTGATAGAATTTAGATGACGATAGAAGCTTATGCGAGTGAGCTCGGCGGCAAGGCGAGACTCCTTGAGTGAAATATGCTATTTTGTTGAAGCGTTAACCGGAGATGAAGGGCAGTATACTTTGTAGGAAGAAGAGGAGCAACTGTGATTGACTATGTCCTAATCAATACAGCGGAGCTTGGAGAAGATAGAGAAGTTCTGTCTAGACAACAGAATGGAATCGGATCACCAACCATTTGTAAAAGGAAATCGATAGATTATGGTATGTTGAGTTTTAGACACATTTGATCGATGAAGGTTAGAGTTATAGCTGTAAACGGTTTGTCTGTTAATTTTAAAAAGACGGATTAATTATGTGGCAGACGTCTCAAATATGTTAAAGACATTTTAAACATTAGGTATAGAAGTTAATTCGCTATATTACGAAGATTCTACTATTTATTTAAAGAGAAATCACACTTCTTTCAGTATTCGAACTATTTACGATTACTTTTAATGATGTTGCGTTCATCTTTGAGACAAGAGATGGTAGTTTTATCTCAATGAAATCACAAATGCTTTCCTGCATTACTCTTAACATTTTAAAGTACTCATCAGCTAAATAACGTCAGAATCAAAACAACAAGTAGACATTCTAATTGGAAAATTTTTGTAAATTAGAGCACAATTTCCAGGTCTAAAGAATAAGTGATTAGATTGCTAACATTTATGTAAGATAAAAATTGCCACCGCCGATTTAAAGGACAGTAGTCGCGTAGAAATTAATTTCCACGCTAAACAAAACAGTAAAAGTAGGAAGGCTTCTTCTTTTCTACAATAAAGTTGTCTACACAAAGAATTAGGTGTATTGATTTCGAAAAATTGAATGCAATCACAAAGCTGCAGATTTTATGGATTTATGACAAAATGAGCAACTGAAATTTGAAATGGTAGAAAGATTAAAATGCTTGAAGAGCTTCTTTTGACCTATATTAAAATTGTCCAAAAAATAAGAAAATATCTAAGTATCTCTCGCTTCTTGCAACAGAGACAGAATAATTTGACTCTACGTACAGTCCTGCAGTTGTTAATTAGGTGCGCGATGAACGACAATTTACAAATACATCTCGAAACAATGTCAAACAAAAACAGCGGTTTCAATTTCTCACGCTATACAATGAATGTTATTGTGACAGCAGATGGGAGGAAGGAAGAAAAGAAATAATATGACAGGATGCAGAGAATACGGAAAGATTCAAAGACAGCATAAGGCAGAAAATGGCTGAGAATGAGGATATGAAAGGAAAACGGGAACAGCTTAAGATCACAAATGAAAGAATCATTGGAACGAGAAGGAATAAGGACGAAGAATAAGGGTATCGGGCGAAAGTTTCAGCGAGTTAGAGAACGTAGTAAGAAGAGGACGAATACATATACGGGAATCGTGGAAAAAGTGGGAAACTGGCGAATTGTGCACGCAGCAATATCTGACACGGAGTACATAATTCAAGAAACTTTGCGACGCGACGTCAACAGAGAGAGTACGAGTGAGAGGACGTACAGTAGGGTATAAGAGAAGTGTGGGATCGGAGGGATAAATAAGAAGATATGCAAGTAAGAGGAGAGGAAAAGAGCCGGGTAACATAATAAAAATGGAGGAACGGTAAGATCTTATTGTAAGTACTTTATGAACTTATTGGACGGTTCGGGATTCTTGTTGGGGGGGGGGGGAGACCGGGGTGGTAAGAGTATAAGTAAACCTCGTAGAACAGGAGCTTACAGACGGGGAAACAGAAAGGCAAATAAAGAAACTGCAGAGGTAAGGGTCTATAGAAGTGGGCGGGATACCGAATGAGGTTTGGATCTACAATGAAGGCGATGCTATAGTAAACGCGATAGTGAGAAAAGTATGGGCAAGGGGCGGATTACTGGAGGCGTGCGGAGGAAAGTAATTATAATGTTACATAAAAAGGGAACGGGGAACACGCCAGGAACTGCAGAGAAACAAATTTATTGCGTGCAGCCTACAAACGCTACGCTGGAGCGTTCAACGGGGAAAAAAGAAGACGAAGGGAAAAGCGAATTATTGGATGCTCAGGTAGATAAAGGTAGAAATAACATGTACTGGGCGATTCAAAAATATCGAACTTTTCATGCTTGTTTCTTGCACAGATGCAGAGCAAAAACATTCTTTCCCATTTTGTGGATTCGATGATAATATTTTACGCATTTGTTCTTGTAATTAGTTTGATAAGAATACCCGTAATATCTGCATCTGTAAATATGAGTAAAAGCTTTCTAAAGGTTAGTCCGAAGATTGTCCATCAACACAATAACTTAATAAATTATTCACGATATTAACAAAAATTGTACATACGTATTATTCATTTATATTTCTGTAGTATTCCTACTTTTACGAAAGTAAATAGGCATAC